TTCAGGGGGTCTTAGTAAGTTTCCAAGCGAACTCTGGTGCGGTTTGACTGAAATATGAACGCAACACGGAGGGAAGACATCTAAACAAACTAAAAACAGAGCATGATGTCAAAAAATGCGACACTAAAAAGGAAAGAATGCTCAAGTATACCTGGTTCATCTTGTCATTACAGTTCGGTACAGGCGTCAGAACCACCATCATCTTGCATCAGATTTTCGTATGTGCAACGTAGGAATTCCTGGTGCTGTTTTGACTCCTTTAAACGTTTTATAAGCTGGTAAAAATACTATCATATTGACACACAAACAACAAGCGCATTTAGCCCAGCACACAGCAATGTTTTGGATGTTTGGTAAATTCCGTCGCAAAATAAATGTCATAAAAGCTATTTTTTGTTATGTATCTTGTTAAAAAAATGCTTTTTGGTCTGGACCAAAAGAACCAAGAGAACCGAACTACAAGTGTGTACACACCCTGAATCTTCCTCAGATAAATGATGACAAGCTCTAACTACATACACAGTAGCAGTTGTGCTTGATTCAAGCACACTTCCTTCCTGAAGAGCCCTTGACTCCGTGTTCTTCATCCGTACGTACAGGATCCCACATGTACGCAGTGTTCAGAGCCTGTCTGTTCCCACAATCCCTCTTGTCCCTGACTCACCTCACACACTTCACCGTGCGCTGAGGTACTAGACCACCAAAAGCCCCAAGGCACTCTTTATCTCTTAAAATGAAATTAGGGAGAGCAGCAAAAGGACAAAGTGACAGAGAGAGACAGACAGATAGAGTTGAAGAGACATCTTCATTGTTCGCCTGGCTCCATGGTCGGGAACCTTGAGATGTTTTTATCTCGCATGAGGGCAAACGAGGATGCAGACATGGCCTTGATATCGGGGCTTTTCTACGTTAGAGAGAGATATTTTAGAGATTTTATCAGTTTAAATGCCAAACATGAACACAGGCTATGAATGTGCACTGACATTATCAGTCAATTTGCATATCTGCATTTAAATGGGAGAATCTAGATATTTTGCTCTTATTGAAAAATGTTTTAAACATACATTTCTCTTACATACATTCCTCTTACAAGGTTTATTAGGTTTTCATAATTTTTTCACTTAAATTTGTCTTATCAAGCTCAACAATAACTAACTATTAAAAAACATCACAGTGAATGATTTTATTCAGAAAAATATCGTTCTTGGAATAAAGCACATGCAATAGTGTCAATAATGTGTTGTAGTGAGATGACATTTTCTGGATATTTCAAGTCATTCAACCCCATTACATTCAACTCCAAAACATTTTAAGACGATTGGCGAAAAAAGTTTTGAATAAGAAAATTCATGAGTTACAATTTTTTTTCTTCCAGTTATAATGTGCGATTTAGTAAAAGGCTATGATCAGCATTTGCTGTTATATATTCTCCTTTCAAGAATCTGAATTCCAAACAGACTGAGATGGGGCTGAAATAATGGTGTTCTTTACGGTAGGTAAAGGTTTTAAAAATGAACCAGAAGTTTTCTTCTGTTTTCTTTTCTTTTGTATTGTGATATACACCTGAGTGTAACGGATTACTGAAAACAAAATGTTGATGGTTGCAGTCGTTTGTGGACGTTTTAAGTGGACTAAACCACTGCATATGTCACCAAAGAGAAGTCTATTGTTTCACCAGAAGATTGAGCAATGACATTTTTATGTAACATTACAAGGATTATGCATGGATGAATTATTAATAATAAGATCTATAATATGCACTTAAAGATTTGATGGATTTTAATTTCTTGCCACATATTTTGGATCAGATATAATAGTTTAATAATGCTCCAGATGTGGACTCACAATGTTTATGATGCTTACAGCCCTGGCGCTTTGTGTTTTTAGGTGGGAAAATATGATTTCCTGAAAGCTCAGAGGTAACCTTTTCAAATGAAATGAGGAAATGTTAAACAATGGCACCATTTCCTGAGAAAGACCCTCTTATTGTTGCCTCTGCTGTGAAAGCATGATAAAATATGCCAGAAAATGATGCCCCATGGCACACTGTGAATATTCATGCGTATGCTTGTGTGTAAACGTTAGCGTACACATGGTTGTAGGAGGAATTCAGGCTGGTGTGTCACTGAGGCATACTATGGACGGAGACACGTCTGTGTTAGTGATGTCATTATCACTGACGAGGGTTATTGTGGTGCTCATAGCAACAGCTTTCACAGTCTCAGTCAGCTCCCCCGCAAAGCGCCCACTTGGCTAGAGGGGGGCAATGTCAGAAAGACCTTTCTCTTTCTCAATCTTTTTATTTTCCCTTTTCTTTCTTTTCCCTTGTCTTCAATTGATATAGTCATACTCTCATTCACTATTACACTGTAAAAAATAAAATGCCATTTTTACGGTAAAATACTGGCAGCTGTGGTTGCCAGAACTTTACCGTCAAAAATATGGTACAGACGTTATTGGTTTTACAGATTTAACTTAAAATTTACAGTAATAAACCGTATTTCATTATCTGATATAAAGTTAATTTACCAACCTATGTATGTATTAATATCTGTTTTTGTACCATTGTAATACACTGAATAACAACAATCATCACAGCAGTGATGAAAATCACATGATAAATCAAAGCTCATCACAAGCAGCTCTTCCACAAGAAAGTTAATACTAATATAAAGAAGCTGCACAGTGTCATTCGCATAAATAACAGCATCATGGTAACACATGAAATTTAAAAAATGCAATAAACATTAATTTAACAACATTAAATGTAACATAAAACTCTAATATACATAACTGATAAGAAAAGAACTAAGACAACTAAGAAGAAACATAGTTATTTCAACAAAAATACATCAAATGTGAAGTGTCACGCTGCTCACGCAGGGAATTGTGGGAATGTCAATTTACGGTTTTTCACTGTAAATTATACAATGAGTTGTTCTTTTTCACTTTCAAAAACTGTAAATTTAACGGTATTTTACAGTAAAATTACATTAAATGTAACGTTAGATCTATCACAGTTATTTACCGTATATAGTAAGGAAACTTTCTGTTAACCAATTAACAGTTTTTCACTGTAGCATTTTTACAGTCTTTTACCGTTAAAATCACGATCATTTTTTACAGTGTATGAATTGTTTTTCCTTAAGCGTGGACAAGCAAATTGGTTCTTTTTGCCTCCTCAAAGCCTTTGAAATGTGGAAAATGTGCATTTATGCTTTAGGTTTCACACACACACACACACACACACACACACACACACACACACACACACACACACACACACACACACACACACACACACACACACACACACATACATATATATATATATATATATTAAGAGTCAATACATTGGCCACAGTCTGGTATATGATACAAATTTTCATTGCACTAATTTTTGGTGTCATTACCAATGTGTATCATGTGTTGATTAGTCATATTTTTGTGTAGGAAAAGAAAAGTCATGTACAGAATCCCACATAACTGCCACTAATGGGCCTTACATGCGATCTGATCCGCTCTGAGCTTTCCTACATGTGAATGAATGAACATGTGATGCTCAGGTGTCTGAACTTGAGACACAACAGCTTTACTTATAGGGAAGATTACCTCTTTATTTACACAAGGGAAAACTGGGTAGCTTTACAAAAGTGCTCAGGTGACAAGAGGAAGTGACTTCACAGAACTAAGATTAAGATTGACCGAGCATGGTCATTTATTCGTGTTTAGGGTTTAAGACTGAAGGGGTGCGAGGAAACACAGGCAATGAGTCGTTCGATTTCGGCTTTCAGTGTAATTTAATTTTTGTAGTTTCATTTCTTTAATCCTTCATTTTATACCCTTAAGTCATTCACATAATGTGTGATGATCTTGATCTTACAAAAAAACATATGTAACAGGTGAGAAAAATACACATTAGGTCAGCTATAGTAAGCGTAAATATTAATATGAATAAAACTCACAGCATGTGGTCTTTGCAAGCAGATTGAGTGGCAGTCCTTATTTAGTCTACTAAGTTGCTCCAATTCGCTTCTAAATACATTTCAATCACAAGGTCCATTTTCCAGGATTTTTGCTTGCCAACTTTGTGGATACCAGTGAATCCAGTAACATCTGAAATGTTTGTGCTGTTGCCGATTATCCATTGAGCACAGAGATTGCCCATCACCACAATCTTGAAATAATATATTAAGGATTCAATTGTCAATAGTCTGAATAGTGACTAGAATCAAGAGTTATTAGCTGGAAGCAAAGAGGCCAATCGCCAGTTTAAGACACAAGCAAACTGCAGATTCTAAAGGCTGCATTACTGCTATTGGTTTTACATTTGGCAAGATGCATTATCACATGCTTATTTAATGGACAAGCACATTGTGTTGTAACTATACCTAAAAAAAGCAACAGAATTCAAATATATGTCATGTTTTATTATAAAACAATATTAACATAATGGTTTTACACTTGCAATATATACAATCATCTGTGTGTTTGACAGTTAGCAATACCAATGCGTCAAATGAAACTGATAGGACTTTAAAAATACATTATACTCAAAACAGTTAAGGATCAACCATGGTAAAAGTGGGCATAATTTTGAAATAGTTCATTCAATTTCACATCAATTTATATGACTGTAAAAAATTCTTCAACTTTTAGCACTTTATTTGACCATTATGCATGGACTTAAAAAAACAAAACAATATATGCTACATTGTCACAATATTCATGCATCTTGTGTTGGAGGCCACATTTTACAACCCGTCTCATTTAATTGCATAGGGGCTAAGAAGCATTGAGCCAACAATTGCACTTATTAGCTACAGTAAAAATAATAGAAGTACAAGGAGAGATTTTTTTTTTTAAATAAAGTGTGAGCAATGAGACCGAATACTATTCTTATACTTAAATCTAACTTGAACATTCAGGAATTTGGGGCCCTTAACACAAGACACGTTTCTTCATTCAAAAACAGAACGAAGCAATAAGCAGGGGTCTAGAGACACTTTTTGTTGTTGAACTACTTTTAACTTGACACGCGCCTTAAGTGATGCTCATGGTGTGAGGTGGCAAAAAAAACAGCAACATAATGGCCAAAGATGTCTGTCCATACGTAGCCCAACCAAAAACAGCACAGACGGAACACAGTGTGAACGGCCCCTAAGATTGTCAACTTGCAAAAATCCAGTTGAGATCAATAATCAGTCTCTGTTCCAATATGGATTTCATAAAGGGAAAATCAATGATTCTTCCACCGCCTTAAAGGGGAAATGTGAAACTATTCAGTCCGCTTCCTTCCAAATACGGCCGACATGCTCCTCACGATACCCTTGAAGCCTGCGGTGCCCTTCTTGAGTGCCCTTGCCTCTCGGATGAGCTCAAACAGTTCGTGAAACACCATCAGCACTCCGTGGTACGTCTCAGCAGCAGAGACCTCAAAAAACCCACAGTCCGCCGAGAGCGCCAGCAGCCGGCCCTCCTCACTTGACACTGTACGTCGGTGCTGGAGGTCTCTCTTATTCCCCACAATGATGATCTGAGCTGTGCTGGCCAGTTTTTGCTTTGCTTGTCGTATGCACTGCACTTGTTGCCGCACCACATTGAAGCTGGCGCGGTCACAGATGCTGTAAACAAGGATATATCCATCCGTCCACTGCAGCTGTCTGTCGCTAATGCATCCCGACTCCTCTCCATTCTGAAACAAGATATTTATCCATTAATTCTATTCACTTATGTACTCCAATTTTTGATGGTACAGATCTCAGCTTTACCAGCAACTATTCAATAGTTACTATCCCCAAAAGGTACTATTATAATTAGTCATTTATTAGGTTAGTGTTTTTTTTTATATGCAATTTGGCTACACATACTCCCAACTGATAGTTACAATTGATGTATTTAATAAAATGTATATCTAGATAGTAGATGGTTTTAAGGAATAAATGTTAAAATGGCTTGCCATACTACTACTGCCGTGCAAAAAACTTTTAATCATTCTTTGGAATTGGCAAAAAGATGCTTACCTGGTGGCAAAGCGAGTCCCATATGTTGAAACAAATATCACGCCCGTCGATCTTGTCAGTATGGCTGTATATTGATTCTGTAAAAGAGAAAGAAAAAAAGTTAAGCAAAACGCAGGGTATTTTACTGCAAATTACAATGGGGATCAAGACAAGAGAGTGATAATCAATAGCCTATGTTTACCTATATCTCCATATTCTCCAATAAACCGCCTCGTTAGAAAGCGCACGGTGAGGGCTGTGAAGAATAAACATAAAGATTGTTAGAGCTGTAATTCAGACTGTAAATTAAGGCACTGGCAATGTCGCTGCAGAACTTACCAGATTTTCCAACGTTCTCAGCTCCAAGTAACAAAATGTTGGCCTCCACTTTCTGCTGGTTGCCTTCCATGGTTTTGCTGCTGTAGCGAATGCGTGATTTCACTTGAACAACCATTGGTAGGTAGTACAGGCTGAGTCCTACAGTGTGCAGGTGTTGAGCGTACCGAAGCGCATTAGAAAGCGTGTTTAAATAGACTCAATGTGCCTGGGCGGGGCTTCCTCTTTAGACTGACCAATCAGAGCGAAAAGCGTCTGTTGTTTTTGTCTATAATTTAGTAGAATACATTTTCTCTACGCACAACACAGGAAAACATTCTTTTCAGTAATCTATTTTAGAATTTCAGTATTTAGGATAAATAAAAAGCAAAACAGACATTTTTATCGAATACATTGTGAAGTAGGCTATAGGCTATGAAATATGCATGAAGGGGACGGCAAGGTTTTTTTTATTTTTTAATATCAACAAAATAGGCTACATTAATTGGTGAATAACATAAATTATTATTATTATAACTCGGGGTTCATCATGTTTCAGCAACATTGTAAGTAGCAACTGAGGCTCTTGTCAAGGCATGACACCAATCCAGCGAAGGGCTGAATTGCAAATGCTTCTAAATGAGATGATCTTTAGCAACTAATTACGACTACATTAAATTAGCAATACAACACAGACATATAGCCCTTCTTGATCTGCCATGGCAAACGCTTTTTCATGACAATACAGTTCTCCAGCTTGCCTTGAGAAGGGTCCCTTAATTGTAGCTGCCACCACGGCCTTCATTAACCGATAAATGACACTTTTCTTGAAATTACATTGTTCAGATCCTGCCTAAACCTCATTGCTGTAAGCATACTATGAATGCTGTCATCGTTTGATCTGCAAACTATGTGTCCATATTTTTTTTTACATCAACTCTGATAATTATTAAAGAGCGACGCCAAGTGGTATATGCGAATATTTCTCCTTCAGTTAGATTAGAAGCACGATACTGGGTATAGTAGGCCTCCTGGTGGACACATAAACAAATGACGGGGAATCAAGCACATTTTAGAAATGGCTGCAACAGAACAAATGGATAGATTTAAAATCATACTAAATCTAAATTGGTCTAAAATACATTAGCCTGTACTGCAAGTGAGTTTTTGAGTTGTAATGAGAGGAAATTCACTTTATGGTAATAGGGGCCATTATGGTAATATTGACCATTGTACATTTAAATTGACCTTACGATCACTATGTCCTACGTGCAATATGCGCCTTCAGTGAAATAGACATGTTTTATCTCCTTTATTCAGCAACTGCGGATGGACAGTATTCACAGAATTCTGAAGAAAACAGAATCAAGCCTACTCCACATCAAACAACTCAACTAAAAAAAGGCTTATCATATATCATCAGATTCTTTGGACTACAGCCTAATACTGTGATTTGGGGTGATAATAATATAATGGAGTGTTTACATTTTAAAGCTGGGTGCTGAGATGTTGACCTGGGCAGAGAGAGAAGATCCCTGAGTGGTTGTGGGTTTTATTATAATTTGAGGTCATTTGTAAATGCTCAGTATCTGAGTGAGAAAGTAACAAACACGTTGCAAATGGAACTTCAGTTGTTACAAAACTACCAGCAGAAAAACATGTAAATTGAATGATAGAAACAACTTGATTTCAGCCCCTCTCTTGCAAATTGATGAACAAAATTAGGTAGGCTTTTTGCTTTAGCCACAAACCTGACAATTAAGTCTGCCTTATTATAGGCCAAAGGTGACATTGTCAATGACAACATTTTTATATAAAGATGTTTACATTACCATTCAAAAGTTTAGGATTGGCAAGATTCAAGTCTCCCATGCTCACCAATGCTGCATTTATTTGATCAAAACAGAGCATTAATATTGTGAAATATTATTCCAATTTGATGCTCAAGAAAAAATTCTTATTATCAATGTTGAAAATAGTTGTGCTGCTTAATATTTTTGAAGTGACTGCGATAATTTTTTTCAGGATGTTTTGAAAAACAGATTTATTTTTCCTATTCTTTATGAAAGCAAAACTTGATCATTATAGTTGAGGGAACAAACAATGGTTTCAAAACCTACTACATAATGGGTGTTCATGGGTATGATGAATGTATAGAGCTGGTAAGTCCCGCCCATCCGTAAAACTCCAAGTGGACCTCTAGGTTGAAAAAGCGTCAATGCAAGTGAATGAGAGAAAATAATTATTTTCTGATCCCGTTTGAATTGTGCCATGAATGTGAACATATGTTGTCTGTGAAATTTTTATATAATTTCTCATCTAACGAGTTTGACAGTATATTCTATGATTCTTTGGCTAGCAGTTGTGGAATAGACATAACGAGAAAGACTACACGTCGCATATGTGACGTCACCGCATAACACATTAGGCTTGTTTGAGATGAGCAAAATCTGCGCAGAACCGATCACCGGTGATCAGCGCGAGATGCATGCCGGTTAGAAATGTGTCCGAGTGCGGTCCGCCTTGCTCTGATGTCATGCTGACGTGTGTCAAAAAACTCTCGCGACCACAAGGCGCACGTGTCGGATTCTGCAGTCGCGCGCAGTTGCTCTCCACCGACTGCGCTGATCAAAAGCATGATGGGAAACGACTTGCTGACGACACAGCTTAATGCTCATTGGTTTAAACAACCGTGATGTATATTGTTCTCTTTTAAAATGTTTGCTTTTAAAACTCTGATATCATGTTTTATGTGTATAAATTATGTGTGGATATCCCCAAACTCTCTGACAGTGCGATCTATGTGATGTAAAAAAAAATTAATTTTAAATAAAAACACCTATCTGTTTTAAAGAAAAAATGATTCATAAACATGTAAGCCTATTTAAAATGGAATTAAATAAGTACTTTGGGTGTCTTGTTCATTATATTTATTTTCATATAAAAGCAACAAAACTTAAATTACATCCATTTTATTAGCAACACCGTGCACGAGCGTGAATCCCGCGATATCCCCCTTTGATCTCACAGGTGTCTGATCCACTGCGAGAAGAGCGATCTGTCCGGCTTGCCTGCGCTTTTTTCACTCCTCCTCTCACTGCAGCCGCCTACTCTCGACTACATTTCAGGCGAGGCAAGGCGCATCTCAAACAAGCCTATTTTCCCTCCACAAATCACGGTGCGATAATCTAAGGAATTAGATCGAGATGCCTGTGTGTTTTGTACCCAAATGTCACCATTCAAACAATGGCATGTTTAGCGGGATCCGTGTGCTAGTGGTGGTGACGTATATCAAACGCGTCGAAAGCAGCGAAGAGTTGTAGTCCACAAAGTGCTCTCACACAAAGTCTAACCGTATGAAAATTCTACCCGCTAAATTGTAGCATTCTTTACACGAAAATTTATATAAAAAATTCACAGACAACATATGTTCACATTCATTGCAAAATTCAAACGGGATTAGAAAATAATTATTTTCTCTCATTCACTTGCATTGACGATTTTTCAACCTAGAGGTCCAGCGGGGTAAGCGGAAGGGGCGGGACTTACCAGCTCTATACAGTATAGACAGGGAAGAATGGAGTAGGTTTCAAACTTGAATTCAAATTAGTTCCCAAGTTCTTGTAGCTTTTAACTGTAATTTTGGCCTTTTTGAACACAGTCTAACTGCAATGTCAGGAAAAAAAAAGATTTATCTGTATTATTGAATCCAATTACTACACATTTCCCAACATACACATTTTAGAGTTTTATTGAATTATGACTTTCCAATTAAAATACCAATGTATTAAATGTCTATTAATCAATATTCTGCCAAAATATGAAAATGATGCTGATGTCTTTCATACATCTTAGCCAAAGCCAACTGACTGTACAGTCTGTGCATGTTCTGTAAGTGGAGAATAAAACCATTAGATAGTAATATAACAACAGAGAAGTATCAGTCAATAAACTCGCTGCTAAGCTGAAGCTGAAACCCCTCTAAATGTTCCTTCAGTCTCTCCCTGACATCTCCCCCCACTGCTGTGTGCCTCAGGTCCGACTGGTGTGTGAGCTGTCCGTTTTCCCACCCCGTAGATGTCAGTATCATGGAATCACACTTCACAGTCACTCCATCCCTTTCTTCAGTGGCCTTTGACTGAAATCTATCCAATATAGCCTGAGGCAGCACAGACTCAATCACAGTCTCAACGTCGACTCTGTTCCTTTCCCCTGTTTCAGTAACAACTGGCATCAGTAGCACATGATCATCAGTCTTTTCCTGTACCCAGAAAAACTGCTGCCCTTCTCCCTGCTCGATCTCCACTTCGCTCTTTTCCTTTGTGCCGGGGTCAGGGAGAAGAAGTTGTTGATGCGGCTGAAGCACTTGGATTTGCTGTAGCTGGAATGGTGAAGAAGTTTCCTGTATTGTCGCAGAGTATTGAACAGGTCCAGGCGCAGTGTGCATGTCAGTCTGTGGATGAAGTAGAGCGAGTTCCTGGATTGCTTCTGCATTATCATGGAGCTCAAGAGATGCTTCGTCCTCGGTGTTCAATTGATGCGGTTGCAACTCCATGGTGACCATCTGCATTGTGTCCTCATTCTCTGTGCTCTCACAGTAATATAAGTAGTAGCTTTGTTGCTCCACAGGTGCCACATCAGTCCTAGAGTTCTCTGGCTTTTGTTCTTTGAGCACCTTTGCTTTCCTTTTGACTTCCTGGATTCTCTTAGGTTTATGTCTTGCCTGAGATCCTTGAACCTCATCAGGTCCTACAGTTGAATCTTTGTACCCACTTATTTTGTTTCCTTCATTGTCCCTTCCGCAATAAAAACAGCACCCTTCTTCTTCTTCCGCTGTGACTTTTGCCCTCGTCTGTCCCTGTCCGTTCCATCCCTCAGCGAGAAGATCTATTTCATCAGTTGCTCCTTCATTTGCACTCTCCTCCAATCCCTCAAGATTGCAACCTCTCTCCACCTTCGTCCCTTGTCCCTTTTGAGCAGCCCAGCTTGAAAACCTACCTCCTCGGGCCTCCTTCCCTTTCACACCGTCTCTTGAGCGAGACAGGGTACTCCTAAGTCGGTTCTCTCTGAGGCGCAGCAGTGCGTGGCGTAGGCGGTTCTCCCGCCGGCGGGCGGCACTCAGAAGACGCAATGCTTTTTCCAAGCTGTCGATTGCTTTGTCATAGCGCTTTCGCCACACTAGAGGGCACAACTGAGCGTAGTTGTGCTCTTTCGGCAAGTAAAAGCCAGGAGGCGGGGGGAGACGCTTCATGTAGCAGGATGGAGAAGGTGGACGTGGAGAAGGTTGAGGAGAAGAGGGGTCAGGAGGTTGTTCATCTAATAATGTCTCTTCAGAAGTTTGAGGAGCCTCAGATGAAGGCTGAGAACGAGGCTGCCCATGCTTATCCTCCCCTTCGCCTTTTTCACACTCATTATCTGCTACTTTTTGCACCACAGTCTCATTGTTGAAGATCTCATGGCTTTCTGATCCTTCATTATCGTTGGAGTTCTTGACACTGAAAAAAAATAAAGTACAGCTTCAGATGTAATTTGATAATTCTATTGTCGTTTGAACTTTCTATTCATCAAAGAATCCTGAAAAAAATTAATTGTACACAACTGTTTTTAACATTGATAATAATAATGAATGTTTTCCGAGCATCAAATCCACATATTAGAATGATTTCTGAAGGATCATATGACACTGAAGACTGGAGTAATGATGCTGAAAATTCAGCTTTGATCACAAGAATAAATTACATTTTAACATATATTAAAATAGAAAACCGTTATTTTAATTTGTCATAATATTTAACAATATTACGTTGTTGTATTACTTTAATATGTTGCATTTTTATGTGTACATTTAATATCGAATAACACATTACAGTGAAAATCAAGTATCTGTATTGCAGTACATATTAAAAACTTGCGTTCTATGGATAAATTATCCATATTTATAACTTCAAAAACTATAATCACTGGCTTCCGGTAAAGTGATGTATCGACGAACGCGGAAGCGCAGAGGATAGAGCAAAACAAAACACCAGTCACGAATTAGAAGTCTAAAAGGAGAATTTTTAAAGAGAAATGTCAGAGGAGCTTGAGTTTGTTGCCCAGCCCTATTTGTTTGAACCGCGAGAGGCGTCTACTCTCACCTAAGCTTACGCTACTCCAACATCCTACGTCATACATAGGGTCAGAGTTCACTATAGCACAATAAAAAGAGGTGATTTTTTGTTGTTGTTGAAGTTTTAGGTAAGATACCTGATACGTTTATCCACCTTTCGAGGTCTACCTCTCCGTTTTGTTGCACATTTCCCAGCAGTGCCTCTTTCATGAGGCTGAATTTCAAATACAGTGGGAATCGCATCATCCTTCAGTCTGCGATAGCCACTAAAAAAAAAAAGGAGGTATCAACATTATTTTCTCATCTTCTAATATATTGTATTTTAACAGCATAATTAAACGTAAAGTTTTTTTGGTCATTGCTTCTATGAAAAGTTACGAGTCTGATAAGCAGCAGACCTGACTCCAGAGAGTTCAAAGCTATCAGGGGTGAAGTGTTTAGAACAGAAATAGATGAAACCACTCTGGGGGTCCCACTGGCCTTTTCCCTCAGGGCCTTTGCGATGAGAGTTGATAATCCAAGTTGTGCGGCGAGGGTTTCCTTTCTTTGGCAACCTGGAAAATGTAATCATAAACAATATTGACAAGTTAAGATAATAGAATTACCCGCTTGAGCAACTGCAGCTGAGACATATTATATTCTTTTACACTCTTTTTCAACAGACAAAACAAGAATATGGACAATAAGTTGAGACCAATGCAAATTATTATTAACAATCCCATGTAGTTCAGTGAACTGATCACTAGGAGGCAGACATTAATCATTATAGTTTTTCTTGAGCTGATCAAAATGTTGCATATTTTGATTCAGATGGGATGGCAGTTCTCAAACTATCAGACTGTAGATCAGATCACATATACTTTCTATTGTAATTGTCATTTTTAAAATCAGATTTTAAATGCTTAATCAAAATTAAACCACCTGTGTCAGTGTAAATATAAACATGTTATACAGTAGTTGTTCAGCTGGTTCCCAACTTGTTGGTCACAGGTCTGTTCTGTTAGGTCATGAACAGCAGTAAGAAAGAGGTCTGAATTCAAATAATAAAATATTAAGTCCATTCTTCAACATGGCCATTACTGATTTGGAAACATTTATATGCACCTGTGAAAAGTGATTCCAGATTTCCGGACGTCTTTTGTGTCTCTTGACTTGCAACCTACAGCAGAGCAGTGCCTGGGCATCTATAAAAAAATAAATAAAATAAAAATAAATAAATCACACACATTTACCTAATGGCTTTTAATTATCTAGATTAGATCAGATCTAACTTTTCAAATGTTACTACCACCTGTCATTAAGATGCGGTTAAATGGAAATTGAAAATAAAATAACAAAGCAATCAAAATCAGACTCAGAACACAAGTTAAAAATAATATAAAAACTAAATTAACATAATTATAATAATAAAGATAACACCAATAATAGTAATAATAATAATAATAATAATAACTGAATAAGTAAAAACTACATAAATAAAAAAATAAATTCTGCATTTATCATATTCATCTGTCATTTTATTATTTATTTTGGATTTTCAGAATTAACACGTTTTCCTGTTTTGAATTAAAATCGTATGCCCAGTTCATATGGTGGTAAAAGCCAAGGCCCTATTAATTAATCGTAAACTGTTCGGTTGTAGACTTGTAGCAGTTTTTCAAGCAGCCGACTATCGGCGACCGATCGCCCGTATCGATGTGACTTGATGTCAGCTCATGTATGTGATGTGTTTAGGGCTGCAGTGTTGTCTTTAGGTAACTACATAGCATGCTGCTAAAACAGCCGATACTTAAGTCAGCAGATGACATGTTGCTCATTTGAAAACAATAAGACCAGACTACTGAATACAAATGCGAACTGCTTTTCTAGCAACGAATATTCTCAGCAATTTCTGTCTTTAAGATCATCCTTTAAACTCACCACAAAAAGGCCTGCGACCTCACGCAGATGGCCGTCTTCTTCTTCCTACTAGGCGCTGTAGATTAGACCCGCCTTTCGGCAGCAGCCAATCACAGCTATGTATTACTCTGACGTTGCGAAGTTTGCGTTTTGAAGGGACAGCGCTGATACTGTTATTATAACGCCAGTCACTAAACAAACCAATTTATGTGATTTGCTTATTGGCATGTTAATTTGGAATTGTTTTAAAATGTTCTTTAGTAACTACAGAAATAGGCTAACTATGCTTGCATTAACCACAACAATTAAGAATAAATCCATGTTTCTGTCACAATTTTGAAACAAATGGAGTTTATAGGGTAGGCCTACTGATCTGATCTTATTACATTTAAAATGTAAAATATTCCAGTCATGTGTAGGTGGCATTGTGGAACTATTGCCAGTAAACTCAGTGATAAAATCAGTGACCCCCCCCCTCAGCTCACATCTGAGCTGAGCTGAAATGCATTCAGCAACCTCTCTGTATCATGCACATCACTTTAAGACTTAGTGTTAGATGTGTGAAACGATGAAGCTCAGAAACATACAAACCACAGACACTTAAATGTATCACTTGAATGTATCACATCAATAGGCCTACTTAGAAATACAGAGGAAATCCTGCAGTTTTAATGCATGGGCATAAGCAAAAATATTAATTAAATAGTATTTCAGTTTTTCTTGCATTGTTGATGAATAAGAGATGTGATGGATGAAGCTAAAGTTTAGTGATTTAAGGAGCACAATTTAGGTCTTACATATACTTTAGTAGACTATATATACACTACAGTACATAATGAAACCAAAACTTCATTATGTAGCATAATTTATTAACAATATTTAAATTAATTTAATAATTTTTGTGATTATTGTTAACCAAAAGGAATATCATAAAGCACATGCATCCAGAAGATTATTTGCTTGAATGTAAGGCAGAGCCCTTCCACATAACTGAGCAGTCCACATATCTGTCCTTGATTGATTTAAATAGAATATTCTGCAAATGGTTGAAGATTATAAATAAGTATATGAACTTGTATTCTATTTCAGCTGCCTATATGTAAAATATGGAGAGAGCTATCTGTTAGCATTCCAAATCCATCACAATAATAGTTAACATGCACAAGCTGAAAATGTTCCTCTTTGCATGTACAGTTCCAATATTTTTTTGAGCTATCACCTGAGAAGTGTCATGTGAGTGATCATACTGAGGTATATTAGAACTTATTGCAACCGACAGTGAAAAAAAGTCTATGGCTGAATTCAAAATAGCATACTAGCAAACTCCCATATATTTATATGGCACAAATAGTAAGAGATGTATGCTAGAGATGTATACAAGATATGTATTCAAATTCAACATATTTCTCTTTGCCTGCAAATATGAACCATGATAATGAAATATTATTGTGTAAATTTCAAAGGACCAGCACTGCCTGTAGTAAGTGCACTGTTAGCTGCTATTACATTTGCAAGTCTAATAAACCCAAAAGAACACAAACACACAGATCTGTCTTTAAAAATGATTTTAATGCAAAAACACAGAAAAAAACCCAGAGAAAAGCACTGGAAAAAGACCTACGCAAATTATACTAATACACTTATTTTCTATCGCAGATGAAAGCGCTGTTAGGCTATATTAAGACTATTTTTCATGCAAGGATGGATTCAAGATGCAGGTCACAGCATAAATAGCTTTCCATAAGTACTCTTGAAGTTTAACTTATTTGAGTTATTGCGAGCTGATTCAAGCCTGTGCATGTCTTTAACCAGAACACCATTTCTTGAGCTGAAAATGTCAGCCAGAGGGGAAGCCATTGGAGAAGGTTTGTGTTCATTACACTGTGGGCCATTTAGACTGGGAGCACATTTCACTTCATAGGTAAAAAAGAAGGTGCCATATTTAAAAACACAAGCGTCACTTACAACTCCACTTCTAATTTCAAAAGAGCATTCACCAAGGAGATCGCTGTTCCAGTAGCTGTCTGCATCAAACACATTAAAAGTTAGTCTATTGGCCATGCTAATCTTAATAGGACCAAACTCAAATCTTTCTGGCCAACATGGATTGTCATTATCATCAATAGTCTCAGTGCGCTTGATTTGTGTGCCATATGTAACTGATACAGCACCATCTGTTTGAGTATATACATCTCCATACAGACCTTTGGCTCTAAGGTTGTAGACTTTCAGGGTGGCAAGTCCTTTTTCAGGTGGACAGCAGTTAGACTTTATAATTTGACTACTTTCACAAACACAAGCACATTGGTCTCTTGCACTGCACTTCTTACCAATCTTGCAAGACTCAGAGCAAACCTTCATGAGGGCATTTTTAATTATGTATTCTTCAACAGCTCTCTTCAGTCCTTTCCTGGCAGGGTGTTTAGTACTCAGTAAGAAATGGAGAGGTTTCAGAGAGTAGTGCGCAATGTCAGGGAGGCTCTTCAAAGACTCAAGCCAGTTCTTAAGGGAATTTGGGTGTGATGAACCAGAAAAAAGCAGATCTTCTCCATTTATGTTTCCTCCGATAATCTCTGTCTGACGCTCACTGAACATGGTGCTGAACTTTTCATTTGTGCCCATCTTCTTTTTCTGTTCTTTACAAAAATGGGTCTCTGCCTTTACAGTTGCTACATGGTATGAACCAGAGGCTTCAACATCCAAACAGTCTTTCACTGCAGTGTCTGTAAGCCCACTCACTGCAGCCTGACATGTTTTGATGGCTGTTATGGCTTTGATTTTCCCCCCTAACTGGACACCTGTGGTAAAGTGAGTGCCATATGTGGTGATCAGGTTGTGGTAGGCGGCTGGATCATAGGATGCAGGGAGTGATTTGATTGCTTCAAGAAACTCTGCATGAAGAGAAGGCTTTTTAGCTAGACGATATCTGTAAAGAAACAGTAAACAAACTTGAATTCAGTGGGAGCAAAGATGTAGCAAATTACAGTTAAAGTTTACATTTGTTTTTGTATTCATTCTATGAGGAAAAGCAAGCCAACTCTCTCACCTGTAAAAGCTGCATGCAACTTCATGTTTGGTGAAACTGTATTTGTCTTCTTTTGATTTTGTCATTCCAAATTTGGCTTCCCTGGAATGAGTGCTTCCGACTGCAGCTCCAGCAGCCTTCACATCTAAACCAACTTTCCAGCTGACCGAGAGTGCTGATGATGAATCATTGACCAGAGCTTCACTTGATTCAAAGATCTGACTGGAGACTTTCATTGAACACTTTGGCAAGGTCCTCCAGAACACAACTGCTGCTGGTAGCTTCTGTTTTATCCCATTCATGTAATTGTTTTTGCGCAATTTACAAGTGCCGTTTCCTAAATCCCATTCCTCCATGTTGATCACGTAAGATCCTTTTCGCTCCATGGTCACAACATCAAATCCCTCTCCAGCAAGATTGTACCCTGGAACAAAGGGAGCATCCACACACTCTTTTGATGCTTCTATGTCATCCTCTCCAGAAATGGTCATGAGAAGCAATGCCCAGAAAACAAGGTAAATCTGGAACTGCCCCATCATCTGTAGAGAGATGGTAATTTTTCAATATTTTTGTAAAATCAAAAAAATAAACATCACTTATCAAGAACAATAGTCAAGAATTGTAACACAAATATACCTTCATACAATTTGCAATTGCATTTTAAAGCAAATACAAAAAAAAAAGATGTTAAGCAGTAATTGTCTCTTTAAAATAATAATATGATTATTTGAATGATTTTTTTTTCAGTTACCTACCATTAAATGTAGAGCTGAGATAATCAAATATAAGTGATAGGTTGTCTCTCTAACCTGTCGATTGCTGAGTGGTTGTGGGTGTCAAAGCTTTGTAGTGCAAATGATATGCCATGACGTGGCTGACAAATCTTCTAGTGTTAGTATAACACATTGCCATTGTCTGTGAAAAAAGAAGAACATTTTAAGTACAAGTCATCAGATGTGACAAAAACCTCTGCAAATGGATGGCAGTGTTACAAAGAAGATGAATAGTTATGCTTAAGAGTTGCATTTTAAAAGATGATCTGTGCATCTATCCTTTACATTCTAATTTTAATTATTAATTTAATGCTAATTCATTATACTGTGCTAAGGAATTGCAAGCTATTGCAATGAAGAATTATTTATTATTTTGAATTAATTAGAAAGAAAAGTTCTGGAGTCAAAACCATATCCTTATCTAATAGGAATGATTTGTCATGAGCAAGCTGAGACCAGAAAGACAAAAGTACAGAGCATTCCCAGATAAAAAAAAAAAAAAAATGTATCAAGTTCTTTCTGTGGACATAATTTACAATTCGGGGAAGGAGACAAATGCATCTAGAAATGTTTTAAAGGGGATAGGTAAAGTCTGTGCAGAAGTTTCCACTGGATCATCTGATGATTTGGGTTTTTTGACAATGATGTGATTGTCGCTCAGTGCATAGGTGTTTGTATGACCTCACTGATAACCTTAGACCAGATAGTTGATATGGAAAGTGGTCTATATGAGTTTTTGAGGAGAAAAGAGTAAATAACTGAGGCAGAATCAGTTGGAAGAATTATCTTTCGGAAATAATGTACAGGTAATTGTGAATCCCAGGGAACTCAATATGCCCAAAGCGCAGATCTAATGCGAAGATACACGAAAAAGGAAGTTCCTGGTAAATTAAAGAAAGCCTTAATATCTTACAATTATTTCAGTCCTTTGTCATCATAAATGTCACCAAATCAATTTACTTTACATTTAACCCATTGTGGACAATGAAATGGTTTCTTTCCTAATACATTTTTTTTTTTTTATGGAACAAAGGTTAATGACAATGCTACATCAAATTAGGCTTTATTTTTCTGGTCACCGTTCTCCAAGTAGAAATAAAATGTGTTATGATAAAGCCAAAAATGAAGTTTACATTGTCTAGTGAGACACCAACAAAAACCAAATGCTTTATATCGTGAGGGGTAACGAGATTATTCAATAGCCCTTAGCCCACCATGAAGTCGATACACTTTAAACCAGGTTGACAGTGCACGGAGAGTAAAGGAGTCAGCGTAACAAAACATTTGGGAAGGACCAACCCCCATCTGTTTGGCTGCACTGTTAAGTAGATAACTTAATTCGGGGCGGTTACCGTTCCAGATATAATGAGAAATTGCTGAATTGAGTTTTTTTCCAATAGCCAGCAGGTGGAGGTAAATGAATCATAGATGAGTAGAAATTAACACAAGGAAGGATGTTCATTTTAATAACAGATATTCTCGCATGGAACGAAGTAGCAAGGTGCGTCCACTTTGCAAGATCTGAGGTGACTCTGCCCAAGTTGTTATTCAAAGTTTTTTAAACAATATCCAGCAGAGAAGGCTAGATGTCTATCCCTAAGTATTTGTCCAATTAATTTTATACCCAGTTAGATCACTAAACTGATTAAATAAATTTAAACATTTCATATAATGGTACATGCACTTTTACAAGTGGATTGTACTAAAATGTGTGTTGGCAGTGCCAAAATCCATCCAGTGTTTTTTTTTTTTTAAATCTCCTTATATGTTTTCCCCTGTCTCAAATCGAGCCTTTCGACCCTGTGACGTCACACGGTCGGACGCCCCTCCCAAGATTGTTGATTGACAGCAGCGTTTCAACACAGACCCGCCCTGAGTGAGCGGTCATCATAGTCCGCCATTGTTGATACGCTGGAGCAGAATGGCGTCTAAGCGATTGTGGTGTTCTGTTCTTGGGTGTAATAACGAACACAGCAGTCATTTTGATGTTCCTAAATCCGAACCGCTGAAGACGCAGTGGCTGAGTTTTGTTTTCGAAGGGAATATTCCCCACGATCAACGTCAATGTTTTCATGTTTGCGCAAATCATTTCTCACCAGACTGCTTTATAAACGAGGGTCAGTGTAAAGCTGGTTTTGCTAAGAAGCTGCTCCTGAAAAAAGAATCGCTACCAACTATTCGTGTTCCTGCTGCACCTCCAGAAGAAGTGAGTGTAAAGTTTTATTAACCTTTATATTAATCTTTGCAAATCACTTGCACGCTTCACGATGAATTTAACTTACTAAGGTTTATACTCAGGGTACATTACTGCATGTTTTCTATTTCTATGTACGACGTTCTCAATATAGTTCATAATCCCAAGTTTATAATGAACAACGCGTTATGGTTATTTTGTTATTACAAACAGTGCACGTATAAGTTACATCAGTAAATGATATGGTGTATGTAGTGTGTGGTTGTGCAGTGTGCCTGTGCAAGCTACTGTAATGTGCCCTTCAAATTTCCCCATGGGGACAAATAAAGTGCTTTGAATTGAATTGAATTGAAAATGCATATAGCGTTCGTATCTCACTACTCTACCCTGCCAGTACATACAAAGATCATAGATCAAAGTCAAAGTGACTTTACTTTAACCAACCATTCCTAAACGTCCTGTTCGAGCCTTAATTGTCGAACGGGCCGTCATCTTGTTCCGGTTCAAACTGATACGATTGTATGATGTGTCCTCAGAGACTCCATTCTTCGGCCATTCTTTCTCCAAAATATACCCTCAACTGTTGTCAAGGCAACACTCCACGTGTGTTGTGTCACGTGTGGAGTGAGCGAAGCTCATTATCATTTAAAGACACATGCACTTAAATGGCGTGCTGAAAACAGAGCTGTTCTTGACCAGGTACAATTAGTGTTATCTTACAATACTAATGAGAATTTAAATCACTTACAATTAAAGTGTATTACAAACTTTTCATTTAGACCCTAAAGAATTATATTAACTTATATAAAATGGCATTATATGACCCCTTTAAAACACATTTAGAACTGATTGAACTTGATTGTCTGGAAAAAGCAATATGTCATCTGCAAATAAGGATATGTAATGTGAGGTGTTCCTAACCAATATAGGAATTATACGTTCGTTCGGACTGACATACAGCTTGAGCAAGAGGCTCTTTAGATAGAGCAAACAGTAAAGGTGAAAGAGGACAACCCTGACGAGTGCCGCTTCCAATCCGAAAAGATTGTGAACATACCTGGCCAGTTAGAATGGTAGCTGAGGGATTAACGTACAAGGTTTTAATCATATTTATAGAGTTAGAGCTAAAACCTAGGTGAGCACTGACCACTAGTTCCACTCCAAATGGTCGAATGCTTTAATTGCATATGAAGAGAGAATTCAAAGAGAGAAGTCAAAGAGAGAAGTCAAAGTGACATTACTTTAACCATCAGGGGTGGTGATGGCGCAGTGGATAAGACACATGCCTTTGGTGTGAGAGACCTGGGTTCGAATCCACTGTGAGACACCAATGTGTCCCTGAGCAAGACACTTAACCCCTACTTGCTCCAGAGGTGTGCGACCTCTGACATATATAGCAATTGTAAGTCGCTTTGGATAAAAGCGTCAGCTAAAAAAAAAAAAAAAAAATTGCAGAGTGAAACAAAGTCAATTGTTCTGATGAGTGAATTATGTGAAGCAGTCTTTACAGGTTATCTGAGGCAGAGCGAGATTTTATAAACCCTGTTTGATAATGATGAACAAGCTTGGTCATAAAGCATTCTAGACTGCAGGCTAAAACTTTTGCATATATTTTAACATGTACTAATTCGAGATCGTGGGCGATAACTAGAACATAATGTAGAGTCTTTATCTTTTTTAGCAGAAGAGATATAATAGCCATGTTCATATTTTCCGGAAAGGATCCTTGATCAATTTAATATTGCATCATGTCTACCATAAGTGAACCCAACTAGGCCCAAAAGGTCAAGTAGAACTCAACTGGTATGCCATCTAGGCCTATGGATTCCCCTTTGCTCATACCTCTGACCAATGATTCTAATTCAACAAGTGATATAGGTCTAGCTATAACTCAATCAAGTCTGATTCTGACAGATGCGGAAGAATAAGAGTAGATAAAAAGGAAGTATAAGATGTAGGTTCGCATTTAGAGTTAGAGCTGTATAGCTCACAATAAAAAGAACTTTTATTTTCTATTACGTAGTATTAAAGCATCTGCTACCATGAAAATAAAAGTTTTGTCTGGATCTTTGTATAAGAAATTCAGCACTGTATCTATAATAAATTAAGTTCTTTCCTAACAGTTTCAATTTTAGCTGTAGTATTATCAGACCAGCACAGTTCTAACCTAGGACCAACAAGGAATTTGTTTTGGTTTATGCTCGATTTTCTGCAGGGCGCTGTGGTTTAACTTGACCCAAAGATCTTGCTTTAGACACTATTTTGCAAAAAGAGCCTCATTTAGTGATATTTATTTAAATTATTTTATTTTCAAACTAAGTTCTAGACAGAATAGCAAGAATATTAAGCCTAAAAGTTGTGCATCGATTTCATCATTGATGTGTGTCTTCCACATATAGTCAAATGGTATCGTAACAATAACTTCTTAGTAAAATCAACAATAGCAAAAATATTGTTATTTTTAAACATTAAACATTTTAAAGTACTGTATGTAAAATACTCAGATTTGTCAGTTACCATTTATTTTACAGCTGAAATGATCAAAAATTAGCCCCTATATGTGTAAAGGGATCCACTGAAGGCAAGTTGTAGAGATGAACCCAAGTGCAGTTTATCACAAACAAAATTAAACATGAAACAAAAACATGGCGTGCATGAACTCAAAACAAAAACCTGAACATGACTCTTACCAACAGTGGTTACAGGGAAACACATGACAAGACACAGAAACATGACAATGACATGAAACGTGACCAAGACAAGGCCAAATCGTGACAATATGATGATTGTGTTTGTGAGTTTTGCAGGTTTGTGGTACAAAAAGGATTTGCCCTGTCACGGAACAGAAGATATTA